CTGGCAAGCTAACAACTAACTTACTAGTAAAATAAGAACATGCCAATATAATAGTATTCAAAGGTTCTTTGTCTCTTTTCTCTATCAGGCTGTTCATTCCTCTCTTGAAATCAGTGATGACCTAAATGAAGCCACCATTGTACACCATTAAAATGGCATTATGCTACACAGAGAGAACTGTTCAAGCTTATGACAGAGACACACCAGCCTAAATAAAATATGGACCAAAAGACAACATATGAGAATGAATGAAACTGGGGAGTATTTAATGACCGGTGTGGAGTTTTATAGAGATGAATGAAAGTAGGACGACGTGTAGCCAGCCTGAATGAGCTGAAAATGAAACAGGATAGGATTTTGGAAAGTAGACCGTGTGGACATCTTCACCACCTCTATCTCCCTATCTTTTATGGATCTATACTAATCTCATGAAGACCATTGCCTCTCTGGGGTCTAAATGACAGATGTGCTGCAGTGACATAAAAGCTGAATTACTGTAAGGCAGAGACAGTAGAGTGAGACAAAACAAATTAAAGACAGGAATGATGAATATGTTGCCTTTTTAAATCCAGAATAAGTCAAGGGAATATACTGATTTCCAACAAGACCTTTCTTGATCTTTCCACAATTTCTGCCTTGTCCATTTAGCATTAAAGGACAACCGTGTCAACCATTATTTTAATTTGAAAATGTCTTTCCTGTCTGAGATGAAGGCCTTTTCATTGTATTTTTGGATTTACACTCTGCAAATTAGTATTTGCCCAGTATTGTAAACAAAATAAGGTTTAAACTTGCATTGACTGACTTAAGTGGTAAATACAGTGTGAGATTATGATGTTAAATAGTTGTCAAATGCATCTACCACACATTTCCTCTGTTTTTAGCTCTGGTTGTGTCTGCAACAACGTCCCAGTAAGTCTCTTTAGCTGTTAAACTGCATGTTAAGATTTAGTCATCTTAACGTGTGTATGAAGTCTAAGACTACACCTTTCCTTGCAGATGTTGCACCCCATATGCATTTACATCTGTCACAGAAATAAGTCAGTGAAAAAAATATCCGTTTTAGACCAACTGGATCAATTCTCATGCCATATTTTGCACTCCTCCTCAGGAATGCTCTAAATCCAGATGGCATTACCCAAAGAGACTGCACTGCTGCTGCCCTTCTGACAGTAAGACCATATGTTCTGCATCAAGGTCTTTTATATTTAACCATAGTTTTTATAGGTTTCTCTTAAATGGAGCCAGATGTAGGCTACTGTAGTAGTTCATTTTTGATACAACTGGCTCTCTACTGAGTGAATGTTAAGTACAGACTAAGGAGGAATTTATGCACTTGATTACAGTTTAGAATTGCAGGTTTTATTGTAAGTAAGTGCTTGGATGAACAGAAAAAAGCTGGTCTGCTATTTCTTTTCCCTGCTTACTGTCCTGTCTGTCCTAATATTTACAAGCTATAAGCACAGACACTTTATCTGTCTGCCTTTTCCCTCCTGTGCTTCTTTCAGTCTGTCTGTGTTCTCATCTTTATGTTTGTTTGACTGCAGAAAAAGGTCGACCAACCAACCAGAAAACAACATGCCTGAAAGGTCAACAGACTGCCATCCACATATTGTTAGACAGATCATCAAACCACATCTGTTGTTAGTTTTCTGGATTTACGTGTCAAATCTGACATATCTCTCTGTTAGACTAACTTGATAAATAACAAAAACCTTAATAAGAATAGCTTCCTGACTCCCACTGACAATAAAAACAACCAAATGACACACCACTGGTGTCAGTAGTGGGTTGAACAAGGCCGTGTTTCAACAGAGTGATGTGACAGCCAAGCAGCACATCAGATACAAGTTTAAAATTCAAACACGATATGAAGACAGATAACACAACAACTGATATGATTGAACTTGTCAGGCCATCACATCGTTTTGGTTTATTGGACCACAACTCATTTGTTTTGCTTCACTATCACAACAGGCATCGGTTTAAAGTTCAGTTGAAATTCAAGTCATTTTTTGTCATTCCCCACTTACAACCCATCTGACAACCTTTCAGGTTGATACAGGATTGATGACACATCTATTATTTATTATTAACAGCAATACTAGTTCATACAGTGTAGGAATCATTTTCACGACACAATTTGGAAGTAGTTAGTACCAAAATAATAGCTGAATACTGAGTCACATTGCCAGATTATTTGGAGATAAAGATGAAAGTAATAATCCTTAGCAGGCAGCTAGTTTGACTTAGGACTGTCTTAGCACAATCGACTAGAACAAACTTTCTCAGAGCAACAAAAGCACAACTGTAGCTAATAATATTCACCAGTCAGCCAACTCCATAATATTGTTTGGATTCTCCTACCAGAATGCTTTTAAATCGTATTTTCACTCAAGAGAACATTTACTGCCGTTTTCTGGAGCTTTTGGTCACATCTTATGCTCTTCTCCAGTGAATGAAACTTCCTTAGTTCTGAATCACAGAATCGGCTGAGGACTGGCAAAAGGTCAGTGAGATGTGGGTGACAGCACAGCAAAAAGCCAACAGGTAAACCTTAACTTTTAAATATTTTAGTATGTAATGCATAACCGTTGAGTTGTTACTGGGTTTGCAGTCTAGAATCCAGGGTTTTTGATGATGTCAAGTGTGTGTGGCCAAAAGCATCAGTCCCACTGTAGGAAAACCAGCACATTCAAAAGTCACACTACAGGTAAAATATACAGAAATGGTGACCAAAAACTATTTAGGACAGAAAATAAAACAGAGCTTCTACATCAGAACACTACACCTACAATCTCTGAATGAGAGATGAGAAATTATCCTTGACTTGACTTTTTTGTAACAGCTTACTGTTGTGATGTTATAGTTTTTCTTTGGCTTTTTGTATACACTGATCAGCCTCAGCATTAAAACCACCTACCTAACATTGTGTAGGTCGCCTTTGGCCACCAAAACAGCTCTGACCTATTGAGGCATGGACCAGCAGAACATTGTCCAGTGCATCACACTGCCTCCGCCAGCTTTCCTCCTTCCCATAGTGCATCCTGGTGCCATGTCTTCACCACGCAAGTGACGCACAACATAGACAGCTGTCCACATGATGTAAAAGAAAATGTGATTCATCAGACTGGGCCACCTTCTTCCTTTACTCCATGGACCAAGAGGGTTTTGATGCACTGTGTGCTCTAACACCCGTCTACAGCTCTTACAGACATGGGATACTTAAAGTAACATTGCTGCCTTCATCAGTGTTTTAAAGCAACAGACAAAGATTGCTTTTACAGTAATGTTCCTCGTGGCTTCATTCAAGTGTACCCACGACCATGATGCAGAGAGCCACAGAACGTGCATGTTGTTTGAGACCTGCAGTTTGGGAGATGCTCTGACCCAACCATCTAGCCATCACACTTTGGCCCTGTCAGAGTCACTCAGATCATTACATCAGCCCATTTTCCTGCTTCACATTGAGAACTAACTGTTCATTTGCTGCCCAATACTGTATGTCCCAGCCGTGGCAGGTGCCACTGTAATGAGATCATCAGTGTTATTCACTTCATCTGCCAGTGGTTTTAATGTTACAGCTGATGAGTTCATGTGGACACCCAGCACTCCTTGTCCTCTTGTGGCTACTCTAACAGCTGATTTATCTATAAAGTTAGAGGATCTGTATGTTGTGCTGACTGGGCTCTTTCCACTGAAATGTTCTTTTATTCACATTTGTGTCTCTTGAATACATTTACTCTTTCTGCATCCGTAGAGCCTGTCAGTTTTTCTGTGAATGGGACTGTTATGTTTATATGCTGTATATGAGGACAAGTGTCCAATTACTTGTGAACCCTTGTAAATTGGGTAGTGTTAAAAGGCCTACACTATATCTCAAACGGTTCGTTCTCTATTGATATAAATCTACTGAAATGAAAGCTAACACTTGGCACTTTTATCTAATACTTCAGTTCAAATTGAATGTGCTGAAGCACAAATAATGTGTAACTGTCCAAACACATATTGTTTCACATGTAATTCAGTGCTGCAGAGGACTCTGGCTCCCAGCAGGCAGGAGCTACAGATGTACATACCACAGAAATGCATGATAGGTTTTAATCAAAAGGGAAACATCTAGGTTAAGATACGAGGCCTACTGTATATCAGTACAACATGAAAAAGTCCATGGATGGATTCAGCATGAATGCAATCAAATATGCACATTAGTGTGTCTACCCACATTTATATCCGCCATACAAAGTGTAATGATTACTGTATCAGCTAAACTGTGAAAGACAAGAATTCTGGTGAGTTTGAAAGTCAATGAATAATAAAACAGTGAATGTGCGGATTGACTTTGTATGAAAATGTTTTCAGGTCAACCTCAGTTATTGGTTATGAAAAAGTGAAACAATAAAATGTCGATTAATGTACAAACAAGACCTCCACTAAAAGTATAATAACCCACACAACATACAGTATGTAGATATTGACAACAAAAGAACGGAGGAAATATCTCAAATATACACGTATACAGTATGTAACACATACTATGAATAATGGGTCATTTTAATAATGAGGAGCTGCGTCTCAGTGCTTGACGTAGGGGTAGAGTAGAATGTAGCTCTTATATGACACCGTCATACATCAGGTTGCCATTGGTAGGTGGGCCTACTCCTTCTCATTTAGCTAAAACTGTGTTCATTTCAAATCTTTTGGTTTTAAGATAAAACACACTGAAGGTCTGTGTAGTGCTGTTACCTATTTTTTGTTCTTTAATGAAAAACTAATCCAACTCCTGTTTGTCCTCCACCTCCTCACTCCTTCCCCCAGCAGTCTCCCAAACACCACACCAACCTTTTAATACCTCAACTTCATAAAGCTAAAATCTGGTTTACCCACCATTGTTTCTTCTTCTCTCACTCACCCCGAGTCAGGGTAGTATCAGTATCAATGAAATGGAAATATAAGCACAATGACTTGGGTACACAGTAACACAAATGATCCAAACTATATTCAAAGTGTCACATTTCAGTTTTTATTAGAAAAAACAGCAAGTTAATGACGCTCAAGATTTGCTTTCAGAAATAGAATCCCATTCTCCAAATACTGCAGCTCACCCCCTTTCAGTTAACCTGTGCCTACTTCTTCCCAGCCTCCTCCTTACATTATGTCGAGCTCCCTGCTCAGGTATGCAGCAACAGTCATGTTACATAGATCAGTTTGTGGTTTGATCCTGGAATGACACAGATGGTCTTTCACATCCTTTTACTGGTGCCTCCTGTTGTCTGTCTCAGATGGGAGGCAAACAGCACCCAGCCTCTGTTGTGCAGTTTTTATATCAGTTTTCATTTATAGTTCAGCTGAAGTCAGTGGTACCTTCAGACATGTATTTATAGGCAAAACACAGTTGTAGTTGAGATGGTGCTGCAAAGAGTTAAAAGGCTTCTCACAGATCAAGGCCTTACATTCTCAGAAGGCAAACAGGAGACAATTTAACTAATGCTTGCTCTTACACTCACAAACACATATGCTGTATATTTAGATTTTGTTTGAAAACTTCCCCTAAGCTGGCGTCCCCCTGGGCGCAACAAGCCCGTTTCAAATGTCAGAGGACAGAAGAAATCACAACAGGCAGGATCAAAACTCCTGAGTGGCACAGGTGCATTATTCCAGATTTCACAACTGAAAGGGATGAAATAAAAACCACTTCATTACTGCAGCTCTGCGTGAGACTGCAAGCATTGAGTGCATTTAAACTTGCAGCTCTGCGTGAGACTGCAAGCATTTAGAGTGCATTTAAACTAATGACAGGTTTCTGACATGAAAAATCAAATGTACTTGTATAAATAACCTTGTGCAGCAACTTCCCACCTCCAAGCTGTTCTGAGCTCACTACAACAAAACAGCTCTACCTGATGAGAGCCTGGTACTATGCGGAGGGAGCCGGGCTGTCCTCTGTACCACAGCCTTCAAATGACTGAACCAGTACCAACTGTTAAGTAAGCTGAGGAGGTTTGCCCTTTTAGATGGAGCTCGGTAGTGACGTCACGCGAAAACTAGGTCCTTTGATCACCACGCATGCGCACACGCTGAATCATTTTTACAAGCTAGTCGCGGCTTAGTTAGCCGCCTTAGCTACCTTAGGCTCCAGCTTCGGCCTGCTAACGGCTAACCGACACAGCCCCGTTTCAAAATAAAGCGAATTATTATTCCTGGGTACAATTACTGCAATTCCCTCACACTCTGCACAGCGGGTAATTCAGCTGTAAGCCATTGGAAATAATTAATATTGTGTGTTTTGTGCACCGTTTATACTAACCATGTTAACTGTAAAACTGACGCTGTTTGTGGCTGAGTACAGACTGCTGCTGCTGCTGCTGCTGCCGCCACTGCTGCTGCTGTCCCGCTCTGCTGCCATCTGCAGGAAGCATGGAGCAAGTTAGAAGTGTCTCAAAGAAAGCGGCTTCACAAAGTATTCAGAACAAGTCAAATCCGTCTAATAAGATTATTACTAAGATAATAATAATCAGAATTCCAATTGACCTCTCTTGTTTGGCCACCCAGAAGGGTTACATCCTTTTATTGGACATATACTCAAAGCGTTCTCTCTCTGGATGAATAATTCCATGTGTGTTTGCAGCCCTTCATACACATGTCAAACTGTGATCAGTCGCAGTCACATTTTGCAACCAAATTTAAGGGGTGACTGACTTTTTTTTTTTAAAGATCACACTAGATGCTACTGCAAAATAAACAGGTTATGAACAACTGCTCTCAGTGTAAAAATAGTGGACAGAACTAACAACCTCTGTGATGCTGTCATTGCAACATTTATCTTCAGGTCTGTCACTCCACGATCTCACGAAGCAGACTTCCAATATATCACGTGTCGCTCCACAGTCGAGTGTATGTAATGCATGAGAGTCACAAGATGGGGCTAATGCAAAACCACATGGTGAAGTCTTTTCTCATAAAAGCAGACCACATTGTCTAAAAACACTTCCAATAAAGTACAAATCTCACCTTCAAGTGGATTTTATCTTTTTCCTCCTTGTTCTGGGTTACTGTTTGCTAAATAGTGTCGTTGGACTTTATGCACCTTTCTTTGTCTTAAGAGACAGTTAACCGATTATACATTTAGGTATAAACATGCAATTGGCTCCAACTCCCCCACGACTCTCTTCAGGATAAGCGGTATAGATGGATGGTATAAACATACAGTAGTGTCAGACAACCTGATGTCGCCACTTATTTTTTAGGAAATTGTGATTGATAATGTTCACCAAGGGTGTGTGAAGTTTGCAGTTCTCAAAGAACAACACTTCTAACAAATAGCTATGAGGGTTTAATAGAGCGGATCTGTTGTAGGAAACACCATTTTCCACATTGTTATTGGCAGTAGTTGGTTGGTTTGTTCACAGCACAACGCAAAAAGTAATGATACGAGAACTGCTGCCCTTAAATACCAGGTGCGTGTGACAGTTGGTAGGAACATCTCAACACCGACTTTCAAAATGTTCTTGAAGTGCCATCCTACTTAATCGTCATGACATATTGACAGTGTTCCTACCTTCTTGTAGGCCATTTCGAAGAGTTTGAGTGATGCCTGCTGCAGATTAGAGGCTGCCTGTTTGATGTTCTCTCCCGTCTCCGATTCCTTGTTGGCCAGAAGATTTCTGACCTTTGAGATCTCCTCCTTCAGCTTGGTACACTGTGAGCGGGTGGATCGGAGAGAAGACATGAATAAAGCTGGGTTATATGGAAAGATAAGAGCAGTACAAACTCCATACATCATGACCATGTTCACCATAAGAAAAGTCTGCTACGTCTTATGCACTGGTACAGAAAACAAAGTGCAGCAGACTGTTAGAGGATTAGATGTCCATCAAGCAATGCCCACATTACAA